GAGTTTAACACAGTGGCACAGGATGATGAACAATATAAATGTGTGCTTGTGGTATAACAACACACCACTCAGAGGCTGCTGATGGCTGGCTGTGCTGAGCTGAAGGAATTAACTCATGTGTCTGTTGTCACAGACAATCTGGGCATTGCTGCTTGACTGCTTCTGAGAAGAGCTTTGTTTGGATTAAGTTTAGCAACCGCAGAGCAAATTTCCTTTGCTTGCTGTTCCCCAGCACTTGAGGCATTTTTCTTTTCTGTTGCGTTTCTCAGTAACTTTTCTCACACTTACACAGCTGAGGAATTTTGTGGTGAATAGCCCTGCGGTGTCCGGCGCGGCAGGGCATGACGCATCAGAGCTGGAACGAGCCCTCAGAGGACCCTCCATGTCACACTCAATCCAGGCACACTCTGCCCCAAATTGGCAATAAAAATTACCCTTCTGATGTGAGGAGAATTGAAATTAATTACTGTAGGAACCTCCCATGGGCAAAGTCCTGTGCCGTTGTCTGCCACAGTGGCCAGCAGTGAACCCTAATTCAAAGGGGCTGACCAGGAGCCGTCGTGTCAGCCCAATGAGTTTATGCAAAGACCTACAGCAAACTCCATCTGGGGTTTGTTGAAAGAGTGTCTGTTTTCCAGTTTGTTCCCTCCGTGTCTGGAGACTCACTAGGACTATCACGGTTAATTTAATGCAGCTTTGTCTTTCAGGAACGATGCTCCTGTGACCTGTTAATTTTGTAAAAGTCAGGGAGAAGGAAACCAAATCAAATTGGGATTATTTTATTATATTCAAGACTTTCGAAGAGACAGAAAGCATATTTACATTGTCTAGGGCTGCAGGTGAATGGGCGGGATGGTAAGGGAATGACCCCTAATGATCTCTTTTTAGGAAGATAAAAACGTTCCGAATTGGATTGTGGTGATGTTTAGACAACTCAGTGAATAAACCAAAAAACCACTGAATTGTCCAACTTCAAATGGATGAGTTTTGCTATGTTTGAATTATGTTTCAAGAAAGCTGTTAAAGAGATTTTTTATGCAGCAAGATCAAACAAAACTGCAGAGCTGAGAACCAATCAAGATTACTTGCGCCAAAGTTAAGTAAATCCAGGAATCTCATTGCCAGTCACCCAGAACAAACTCTGTTAGGAGCCATCACTGTCCCTTGAGCAACGTCCGTTGGCTCTAAGCACTTCATTCTGCAAAGGGATCAGCACTGTTTGGAAGTAGCCCCTTTGAGCCACACTGTCTCTCTCCATGTCCACAGGCAGTGCCAGTTCCTTGGCTCTGTTTTCCTGTTTCAGCCACAGCTCTTACTCAAGACGATGGTAAGAACTGTGTCTGGAGAGCAGTGAGCAATTACTCATGCCTCACAATGAGTCTTTTGTGAGTCAGTGGAATGGTTGAAAGTTAAGCTGCTTCCAACTAAGGATGTGATTTGTGCACACTGATCATTTCTTTCTCATCATCTTTGGACAAATTGGATTTATGACTTGACTTTGAACAGGAGGAGTTTCTTCCTTTCTTTTAATTATTGGTTTACTTGGCAAATAGGTGGTGATTTAATGACCGTAAACCAAAGGGTGTAGATGGCATATGTGAGAAAAAGAACAAATTTACAATTGCAAAGTATAAGTTGTCCGAGTTTACTCACCTATTAAAAATCAGTAAGAGCTTTAAAGTGTGATTGTATCTAGTATAAGAAAGGTTTGGGCAGAAAGAAATCTTACTATATTATTGCTAATGGAAGTGTTTGTTGATGGCCTTAAACATGTTCAAGTATTTCAATTTTATTGATTTCTTTCAAAGAAATAATCAGAGTAGCTCACAAAGAAGCCCCCAGGCATCTTAAATATGGAACATTTAGAGGAATAACTAAATTATTCAACTGTAACGACAATAAAATGCATAAAGGTCACACTTATTTTAAAAACATTTAGTAATGAGAAAAATACTGTACTGCTACAAAGCTTCAAGAATGTGATTCTTAGTGTATAGTTAATTTTATAAAGCTATAAAGACATTAGACAGAATGCAACTAAAGTGGTTTGCTGGGTAATAACTTCTGCTTCTTAACTAAAATGTATTGCTTTAATTTTAAATTATTTATTTGAGGGACAGAGAAATAGGTGATAGATTCATATCTACCTACATGCGTACACACATACACGGGGCCTCTAGTCAGTGAGCCCCACCCAGAGGCTTACCACAGCCTGAAGCCAGAATCCAGGAACTCAATCCGGGCATCCAGATAGAGAATAAGAACTCAGTTATTTGAGCCATCAGCACTATTTCCCAGAGTCTGCATGATGAGAAAGTTGAAGACAGGTCCTAGAAATGGGTATGGAACCCAAGCACTTTGATATTGGATGCAAATATCTGACTAGCATCTTGACCATTGGGTCACCTAAGAAATGTATGATGTTTTAAATAACCTTCAATAGGCAACATGAGAGCACTTCAGAAAGTTATCGGAAAATGAAGTTAAATTATACTTCATTTTGGTGCAAAAAATACTTTAATACACAGTGCTTTCATAATATTACTTTTCCAGAAACTTCTGGAAGATACCCTCTCCCCCTAATTTTTTATATCTGCGGGGTTAGTTTTAATGAGTTTAGTTCGGAGGCTTCCTTAAGACAGATTCTGGAGGCAAGCATTTGAAACACTGGGATGAAGTTTAAGACACCTCATATCCCAGTGTCTGGAATTGACTTCCACTTCTGATCTGGCTTCCTAGTAATGCACACCTTGGGAGTCAGTTAACAATAAATCAGGTATTTCAGTCCCTCCCACCTATGTGGGAGAGCTTGAGTCCTGGCTCCTGGCTTCAATCTGGTGTAGATCCCCATCCGCGCCCCCCCCCCCCGCCCCGTATACAGCCATTGAGCGGTGAATCAACAGGTGGAAGAACTCTTTTTATCTCTCTAGCTCTGTTACTCTCCATTTCAAATAATACTCATTTTTTAAAATATGGGAGGATTGCCTAAGCTACATGAAATACAGTGCCATACATGCAGGAGGCTTGGAGATCTGCAGATTTTGTTATCCAAGGAATGTTCTGAAACCAATCCCCAGTGGGTACCAAATGACTGTTTTTTCTATGACCTGTTTAAGCACAAACCTTACAAGTGACCTAAAACATTATCATTCCAACTACCTCTGTCCCTTACCATAAAAAGAAACTAGTTAGCAAACTAAAAGAGGAAATAATTTGGTGACTCCACAAGGCAAGTAGCCAGTCTAAACTCACCTCTAATTTTAAAAAAATAAGCCCCAAAAAAGATTTATTTATGTATTTACTACTTTTGAAAATGTAACAGAGAGAGGTCTTCCATCTGCTGGTTCACTTCTCAAGTGGTCACAAGAGCCACGGCTGAGAAAGAGAGGGAGAGAGACAGAAAAATCTTCAGTCTGCTGAAAGCAAACAGCTGCAGTGGCTGTGGCTGGGTCATGCAGGGGCCAGAAGCCTGGAACTTCATCCAGCTCTCCCACATGGGTGGCAGGAGCCCAGGCACCTGCACCATCTTCCACTGCTTTCCCAGGTGCATTAGCAGGGAGCTGGATCAGAAACCAAAACAGAGGGGACCCAAATAGGCACTGATAAAGGATACCAGATTCACAGGCAGTGGCCTAACCCACTGCTGTAGCAATGCTGGTTCTTCTCTTCCCCCGCCCCCCTTTTCAGCAATCAATAGCAAAATTTCAAAGTTGCAGTCTTTGCTTTTCTTCTGTGGCGCTCCTATGGACAGTACTACTCAGCACTGGTCGAATATTCCCATTCACTGACATGGAGCCTTTGGGCTGCCTTTCCCAGGGAACTCACTTGGTTTGTAAACTGCATGAGTCAGCAAACAGCATTGACATGCATGTCTTATATCAAACACATTAACAACCAAAGACCCCAGTACTAGCACCAAATTCTTTATAACTTCCATAACTTTGTCTTTATTGCAGCAGCAGAAAGATTAAAACCTGTTAGTTAACCAGCTATAAATTACTAAGGAGGCTATTATCAGTCACTAACATTAAAGCAGAATTATCAGGGAACGCACCCTTCTCTACCATGCCATACAGGCTCCCATTCCACTTTTTTCCTTCCCTTACGTGACAACTTGCAAGGACCAGGCAAGACTTCACAAGACATAATTTCTGCTGGGCGTGTTTTTAAAGTTCCAAGTGGAGAAGTTAGCAGAGCACACATGAACCTTGGAGTCCTAGACCTGTTTTTGAGTCCATCAGAGACAAAGGGAGTGCAAGGTGTGAACAGTGATTTGCAGCTTGACTCTGCCTATCTTTTAGCAAAACTAAATAGAGGTGCCCACCCTCTGGAATCAAGATGAGACCCCTCTTCGATAGCATTTTCCAACAGAGATCCAGCCAGCCCTGCACACCTCTTTCCGTGAAATGAAGATACTTAATCAGTATGGCTTATGCACCAGCCTTTCAGTCAGTGCAGAAACCCAGACGTGCACGTTTGAAAAGAGATGTGAATGTGGTGGGGTTGTCTCTCCTGCAAGAGTTGTCTTGGTAATTCTGAAGAGTGGCTACAGAGAAGGCACTCAACCTAAGAGTTTCCCAACCACTGAAAAGTGCATCCACTTTATTCTCTTTCCTCTCATGAAAGCAGATCTTCATTTAATGTGTTTTAACTGCAGTTGCACTCAAAGCATAAAAAGACAGTGTTGTTCAAAGTTGGAAGCAAAATAAATAAATAAATAAATTGGGTAAATGCAACAAAAAGGGACTAGATGTGATTTAGCCCCTGTTACAGGAACACTGGGGTGCCGTGTCAAATGGGGTCCTTTGTCAGAAAGAGGCCATTACGAGGAAGAATATTCACTTAACCAGTTCACCGCTGGCACTGCACACCTTGTAGGCCCCTTTCTCTAGTGCTGCTGATGCAGGTTGCCCGCTTCGTGTCACTAACACCAATGTCACCTTGAAGGGCGGAGAACCAGAAGGATCCGTGATTCCTCATTGTTTTATTTCTTTGGACAGATGCAAAAATTAATGCAGCAAAAGGAATACACCAGGCAAATGAAGGAGTACAGCATGAACACACTGTCCCTTTTGGCAAAACCACAGACAGCCAAAACAGAAAATAAGCCTGTCATCCCTCGGCAGAAGGTAAGAAGTTCTCAAGAAGATGTTTCCTTCCTCAGCATGAAAAAGAAAATTCTGTTAACTCCCGATGTTTTGGAAGGTATTTTAACTACTGCCATTCCTGCAGCTACTCAGCATTCATAGATATTAATGTCATGGTCTTTCTCTCTCTCTCTCCCTCACAGATACACACACACACACACACACACACACACACACACACACACACACACACACACAAATAAGGTTAAGTTACCCTCCAAGTTCATTGTCCCCACATCTTCCAAAAATAGTTTGCCACACACACACACAAAATTAAACAAGAAAGCAATTTCCCAATAACTAGTTGTCTTGTTTAACTGCTTATTTCATTCTCCATCAATAAACAAGCTTTAATGAAATTAGTGAATTCCTAGTCTTTATATGTCAAAGAGCAATCCCTCATTGTTTCTTACAAACTCAACCTCCTGTGCGTCTCCGTAAGGTTCTTCTATCTAATCTCATGAAATACCGAATGTGCTCCCTGTCTGGGTCTCCCACTTGTAAGTGATGATGTGAATGAAATACCTACCATGGAGACATGGAGTCTTGCAGCTCCATCTTCCCAGTCCCCGGAAGGACCAAGGACCCTCTGCATGAGAAGCGAGCCCTGCCTTGGGGCCTTTAGGAATCTGTACTTCATGCTTGCTTTCCCAGATCACCAACTTTTCTATCCATTGCCTTTCTTCCTCAGGCTGGGAAGGCCTCAGCTCCCTCTAGTCAGTTTCCATAATGCCACCTTTTTCTTTTCTCTCCGGTGCCCATTTGATTTTCATGAAGAATTTCAAGGAAGCAAATCTGTAATTAGAAATTCCTATGAAATCCACATACACACACTGTAAAGCCTGGGTTGGTTTTTTGTTTTGTTTTGTTTTGTTTATTGTGTTTCAGACTTTTTGTTCCCTTGCCAAGGTGGAAATATCCTATCCCCTTCTATTTTACTTCTCAGGAGATTCTTATTAAAATTCAAAACTGATATAATGTCAGCTTTAGAAATTCTGGTTGGTGAGTTGTGATTTGTGTTGCAGTGCATCTTCAGAACTGACAAATCTGGGGGAAATTCTACCATTGTCTCAGTATCTGGACTTGCAAAGACATGCTGGTGAAATAAAAGAATGCCCACCTCTAATCACTTGAGAACCAAGCATCAAAAACAGCTGATTTAATATTGAAGGTTCCGTTTTCTATCAACTACAATGTCATCATTGGTCTGAGGCTATGCTCCTTGGAAAGGAAGATGTGTTAATATCTCCCTAACAGAAGTTGGATCTTAATTAAACTGCCATAAACCAAATAGATCAGACACATGAGAAATCTATTTTGAAACACTTGAAGAAAACCTGCAAAGGGCATGGTTATGTGTATCACAGTTTGGCTCTTTTTTTTATCCACAATGTTTTGCTTTGTGGGTCATCTGTTCTCCTTAAGCTATGCACTGTATTGTACGGGGCCGATTCTTCTACATGATTTCCATTTCCATCCATGTTTCAGTAATTTATTGTCACAGTAGCCTCCATTTATGCCATAAACATGTAAATATGTCCTAGTTTAAGGAAGACTCATTTCCTGTTTAAATAAAATTTTCTCTCCACACATTTAGGCTTTGGAATACGCTAAGACCATTCCAAAACCCAAGCCGCCAAATCCAACTGCTCGAACCGCAAAGGAGAAAAACGGCCCGACCTATGCTGGAAAAGAAGCAAGTTTACCCGAAATCTCCCTGCTGGAGATGCTGCAGAGCAGACACGAAAGAGAGAAACAGGCCGTGGCCGCTTTCAAAGTCCTTCACATCGTGTAAACAGCCTACATCTGCGAGGAGTCCAGAAACATCCAGGACACGCACCCCAGTGGGGAGACTCCAGCAACCTGCCTGCCTGGCAAGGGGGCCTGACACCATCGTTCCAACTGCGTTCTAGCCTTTGCTGTGCACAGGACTTCAGATGGGGGCCCAATCACATAATGCTACCAGAATTTCCATCTTACTAAAGAAAAACATTTTTAAATTATTGTCAAATCAGTTAGAATAAGAACAACTAGTGAATAAAGCCTTTGGTTTTATATTATATATATGTATATAATTTTTTTTAATTTCTTAAATTATCTTTACCCTTCCTTAGCATAGTGAAAATCTTGAGTTACCCTGGACATACCTTAATCTATGTGTTTTTCTCTCTTCGCTTCCTGCTTTGGGGGGAGAAGTTACAAACACTTCAGGTTCTCCTAATTTGAACTCAACTGGGCTCATGAACACAACATTTTAAGACAACAGTTCAACAATATTACTAAATGCCCAAGGTCGATTTATAGTAATTGGATATTGCATCCGTACACTAGACTCTCCAGCTACCGATCATGTTAACACCTACTTAGGGCAAATCTGTTCGCCTGTACGTGTAGCGAAGGACTAGCCTTGGAGAGTCACGCCTGCACATCGTGTGCATTTTGTACACACCGTCACGTGGCATAAAATCTTCCTGGACACAACTGCCTCAAACTGGAAGCAGCAAGGGTTGAGAGCCTAGAAAAATTACAAATATCTGAAGATACATAGCGGATGGATCATGTTTCAGTAATGTGTGGAAAGTAATATCATATATATACATATATAGAGAGAGAGAGAGTTTAGGGAAAAAATCACAGCCTAAACTTCTCCCAAAATAGACTTTTTGTAAAAAGAGCCCCCTTTACAATACATGGTGAAGTTATTTATAGAAACCTGAACTAGAATTTAAAAATCTTTCTTCATTTATTTCCTTAATAGTCTCAAATGTAAACTTGCCCTAGAAGAAAAAAAAAAGGCTTATAAAGCAATCTCATATTTTAACACTTAAAGGGATGGGGCAAAGTTTTTATTGGAAAGGCAAAGTTACAGAGAGGAAAAATAGATCTGCCATGTGCTGACTCACTCCCCAAATGGCCACAACAGCCAGAGCTGAGCCAGTCCAAAACCGGAAGTCAGGAGCTTCTTCTAGGCTTCGCACGTGGGTGCCAAGGGTCCAAGGACTTGGGCCATCCTCCACTGCTCCCAGATCATTAGCAGGGAGCTAATCTGGAAGCAGAGCATCCAGGACAGGAACCAGTGCCCATATGGGATGCTGACACTGCAGGGGAAAGCTTAACTTGCTAAGCCACAACACCGACACCTCCTCCCTCCCCCAATGTTTAAGCCTTCTATTTTTATTAGCATTTAGAGCTTTGGAGAACATTTCTATTGTTCAGCTGCATGTTTTTCAAGAAGAGAAAATGGAGTGAAGGCAGAATGAGTGGCACACAAGTTCCTGGGTCCTGTCCAGCCAGCTCTCAGTCCTTCAACACCAAGGACAGTGTACTCTTGTCTGTATGAGTAACAAGCAGGTTAGTTGCTATGAATTTTAACTTGGGGCCTGAATTTCCATCAAGTTTTAGAAATATGTGAACCTGCTAATTTTTTCTAACACAGAATTTGGCAGCCTCTTTATGTCGTAATGAACATATAAAGCATTTTCTTTAAAGATTTATCTATTTTTACTGGAAAGACAGATATACTAAGAAGAGGAGAGACAGAGAGGAAGATCATCTGTCCGATAATTCATTCCCCAAGTGACCACGATGGCTGGAGCTGAGCCAATCAGAAGCCAGAAGCCACGAGCTTCTTCCAGGTCTCCCACATGGGTGCAGAGTCCCAAAGCTTTGGGCCATCCTCAACTGCTTTCCCAGGCCACAAGCAGGGAGCTGGATGGGAAATAGAGCTGCCGGGATTAGAATTGGCACCCATATGGGATCCCGGCACATTCAAGGCAAGGACTTTAGCCACTAGGCTACCACGCTGGGCCCCCTATAAAGCATTTTAACCTAGATACTGACCAATTAAAAAGAGATCTTGCTTCACCTTTTCTTTTCGCATTACATTTCACAATCTTCCCATAACTGTCATTCTAGGATGACTAAATGCTTCAAGTACTTTCACACATACTGACTAAAACTCACTTACCCAAGTAGGTGAAGTGATTTCAGTTCATACCAATTTTCACAGAATCACAGAATTATTATCCCCCAGGACAAAAGACTTTCCAGTACATAAGACTGAAACATCAAAATGATCATATGTTGTCAGTTGAGATCTAGATAACCCTCACAAACACACACCAAAGCAATCTGCTGAAATTTTGAATTGAAATCATGAAATGAATCAAAGGGGTGACTCGAAGCCATCGCACAGCAGAGTGTCAACAAACTCTCAGGCAGGGAAACGGTTCTGCAGAAACAGCGCATGACCAATACTTCTGTACCCCTCCTTTAAAGCGCATTGTACTAGTAACAACAACGTTGATCTGTTATAAACTCAGGTGAATCATTGATCAGCTCTGTAGCATTTCTGCTTCAAACATACAATGAGTGAAAACAATGTAGCTGTTGACAAGAAGGAGCTAAAACACCGGAGGGCTTGTATTTGACCAGATGTTCTGTATGTCATTGAAAGAAATAGTGTAATTCAGTCTAATCTCGATGAGCTGGTGCAAATAAAGGCCTTTAAACCACGTATTCTGTTGTACTACAGTCTCCTTTTATGCTGTTTTTCCATCTTGAGCATCCTCTTAAAGGGAGCTTTTTCACAAGTAGCTGAATTTAATGACAGCTGTCTTCCTGATATTGTTTTCTATAGTAAGGAGTCTCTTGGGAGTTATCCAGCAACCAAGTCAAGGAAAGACAATATTGAAGGACAAAATAAAAGGTACGCCTAGCAAAGGCACCGCGGCCTAATGGTTCCAATTGGGGCCTTATTATTGGTTAATGAATCATTGTCAAAACATCACAGCAAGCATGAGCGTGCACAGTCTAGTCTATAGTGAGAAAATGACTCTTCATCCCAACAGTTATTAACTGGGAGTTGTTTGAAAACACGTCCAGTAATTATAACAACACTGGAGCTAATTGAGAACTTTGAGTTGATAGCAAATGGCCTACAATAGCAAGCCAGATCAACTCAGGGGGATTCATTTTAAATTACTTATGGAAAAATAGCAGAAAATGAACTGAATTTGGGTGGTAAGTTTAGCCAGTTTCCAAGATGTGCTTAAAAACATATATGCGTGTACATATGTGTGTGTATCTCCATTGTATATAAAGTAGCAGTGGAAAATATAGTTCTTAAAAATAAATAAGGTTTGTGTTCCTAAATATTTTTAATTAACTTTTCCTGTTAGAATATCTTAAATGGCAGATAGTTCATCCAACTCTCAAGTTCCTGTAGCATAACTATAAGACTGCTCTCTGATGCTTCCCCCGCCCCAACTTGTATTTCCTAAGGGGAGAAACAGAGACAAATAGACACAAAGACCACATTGCCTCTTTCTTTGCTTTCCTTCTAGGGAAAGTATTTAAAACTCCAGCACAAGGCAAAAATTTTGAATTACTGTGAGTTTCATCAATTTATGTTGTTTTCCCTACCCTGTATTTATTATTATAGGAAGTTATCTATATTGTCAAACAAAATTATTTCTATACTATCAAAGTAAAATAGATCATCTAGTAAAATAACATTTGCTTTCACCAACTTTTTAAAATATACTGAAGTGTAGGGTCTTAGAGTGACAGAAAAAGTCTGATATTCAAAATTCTCCCGTCACCTTGTTGCCTCCAAAGGACGTACAGTGCTGACCTCTGCTCACTGTCTGACTTCATTAAGCAAGCTGCACCTGCTTCGCATGGAGGGACTGGCAAAGTGGAAGATGGCCGACTTTGCTAACCAGACATCTAGCGATGGAAAGCAGCTTTGGGGAGCAGACTTTCCATTCATTTACTCATCTTCCTATATTGTTTCCCAGTCTGAAACATCCCCATTTCTCATGTTTGATTATTCAATTTGGACTCCATAAGATAACTGGAAAGTTGGGGTTTTCTGAAAACATCACAGAAACAACACATCACAAGATGCAATATTGTAAGATGTAAAATGAATACGTTTTTCAGCTTTTTCTATCCTTTAATACAAGACTGTTAGGAAAATATAAAGAGAAAAAAAAGAATTTGATCTGTCTCCCTTGTTGCCTCTCCAGTGCCTTTTCATTCCCTGTTACAAACCTGGGTAATGTAAGTAATTAATTTTCAATAAGCTGAGTAAATAGTCTTCCGCTATGAAACAGCTCTAACAGGTTGAGAGGATCACCATGGTGTGAGAATTGCACACAAATGTATTCTGTGCAGTCTTGGAAAATTCTGGTAAGACAGTATATACACCCTTTACTGAACTAGCAGCTCCTCCATACCAGCCTCGGGGTTGAGCCCGCTAGCCTCATTTCTCAGGGTACCCTCCTCACTTCGGGCTTCAAACTTTCGCAAGAAATGTGTAAGTGCTAGGAATTCCCTAAGGTGCTAATGTGACAGTAGGGGAAATGACTGATACAAATTCAAAATCCATAAAGTACAATCAGTCATGTTTCAGGAAGCTCGCTACACTGGAGCAGGATGGAGGGAACTCACAGAAGAAAACCGGAGGAGAGCTCTAGCTAAATCATTTGGCCCCATGTGCATTCTTTGCTCAGTGTCAAATTGAGCTCCCAAATTAAGATTGCACTTTCTGTATTTCACCATTCAGACAACTATCAAAATCAGTAACACGCTGCCAGACTGGCCCGAGCCCACATTCCCACCCCGTCACCTGGCAGCGGGGCCTGTTCCCATTTCTTTTGCTCCCATTTAATGGTGACATTTTGGAAATAGTGCTGATGAGGTCCCTAAATTTGTTGTCTCTACTTAAAATTGCTAATCTCCAATGATACAAACCTCAAGCACCTATTTTTAATGAAAGCTTTAGATGAA